ATGTCCTAATAAATTAACATTAGCATTTGTTAATTTAATTTCTGGTGTTGATGCTTCTAATCCAATTGTTAAATTCATTTCTCCTGCATTGTCGCCATTCCTAATAAATAACTTTTACTGAGTGTCTAATACTTCCTTAAATTCGCTACTATTTTGAAACATAAACCGCCCCCAACTAATAATATCATTTTGTCCTATAATATCCGACTCACCAACAATATTACCAATGCTATTAAATGTTAAAGTATTTGTAACTGCTCGGTTTAATGTTACTCCGTTAGTGTCGTTTAATTGTAATGCTATTGTTCCTGTCGTCGGGTCAGTGTCTCTATTACTTTGTAGTGAAAAATTAATTTCATTCGCGGATATAACATTCAATGAGTTATTAGCGTCTGCTCTTTGAAATAATCTTCCTCTACTGTTTATATGAACATTGTTATTAAATGTTGATGTATTTTGAAATGTTGCTGTTCCACCAAAGTTACTATTACCACCACCGACATTTAGTTTATTTCCTCCTGCTATAGCACCGATACCCATACTTAAACAATAACATCCATTTCCGTTAGCTGTATTCAATAATAGTAATGACGCACTGTCGTTACTGGTATTATATGCATTTATATTAAAAGAATTGAATGTTATATATCCTTGTGCATTTTTAACCGTTAAAACACCGCTAGCATCGGTTGTATCTTTGTATAATGTTAGTCCTGAAGCATTAGAGATATTAGCAGTGTCGTTTTCATAATTTACTGTATCTTTAAAATAAGTTGGTTTAAATAATGTTGTTCCTCCTGTTGAACTATTACATTCAATAAATGTATTAGTATCTGTGTCAGTTGAAGTTCCTAACATTAACCTCATCGCTTGTTGGTCTGTTCTTAAATCCATTGATATATTAGATTTTGTAACGTTAGTATATCTTTCTACAGTTGTATTAGCATCAGTTAATTCAATATTACCTCCAATATTAATATTATTTGTTAAATTAATACTATCTACTGTTAAGTTAGATACGGATAAATCATTAGTTATATTAACATTTCCTGACGGATTTAAAACTAAATCTACAACACTATCATCTGATGTAGCATTTGATAGAATTTTATTTCCTTGTAAAGTTATATAATTCGTAGCGTTTTTAAATACTGATACTATCTTGTCTCCACCTCCAAACTGATTACTAAATAATAAGCCAGTAGTCGGTGATATATTTATTGTTTCGTTGTTTAATGTTAATCCACTATGAATAATAGTAGGAGTGCTGCAATCAATAACTGGAAATGTAGAAAATCTATTAGTAAAATCTGATTTAGGAACTCGTAAATCTAATAAATTATCAATTTCTGTATCAGTGTAACCACCACCTCCGCCACCTCCTGCACCTGCTATTAATGTATCAACCTCGCCCTTATTATAAAAATTTGTAGATAAGTTTGCATCTATCTCCGTTTTATTGTAAAAATTACTGCTTAACTGGCTGTTAGTTTGATAATTATTTGTTAAATCAGTAGCTATAGCATTAATATTATAAAAATTTTGTAAGTTTTTCGTATTCAAGACTGCTATTTCGTCAGTGTTAGCTGTTATTTGTGCGTTGTTTCCTAATTCTGCTTTTGTTGCATATATCTGCGATAAATCAGTTCCACGTATTACAATATTATCTGCTGTTAAAGTATTTGTATTATTTAATGTTAATGGCATTATTAAATATTTAGATAATTAATTTAACAATGTTTTATTAGTCGTAAACTTTTAAACCTAAATCCTTAATCTCTAGTATTTGTTCTGAAAGCATTGTTATATACATCGTATCAGGCATGTCATTAGCTGGAATTGTTGCTCCCGCTGGTTTAACTCTTAATAACATTTGTTGTCCGGCTCTTGTGTTAATTCCAGTATATGAACTGTCTTGCACACGTTCGAATGAAAAAGCAAAGATAAATTGACGGTCACGATATTGTTTAAAATTAATGTTCATACTGTGTTGATGAAACATAGGTAAATTAAGCGCTTTTCGTACATGATAAAAGCATTGAGTAATAGAATTACAAGGATATTCTGGATACAGTTTAGAACCTAATTGAATTTGAAACTCTAAATCTAGGTTTTTTTCATAAATACAACTGTCTAAAGGATTGTGTGCTTGATGAGGATGGTAAAATCTACAAAATTCTTTGTCAGCGTATTCATAACCGAAGCTCGGGTCTCCTGACTTGTAGAATGTAACAAATGAAGCTACAAGTTTAGAAACGGAACGAATAACTGGAACACTAATATTATCAGTTGAACCCTTAATATTTTGTGATTGTGTAATATAAGTTGTGTAAGTAATTGGAAGTCCTTTACCTTCTAAAAGATGTTTAACATACTCATTATTCAAATTATTATCAAGAGTGCAAACATCGCATATTACTCTAGGATTAGATATTTCCCAATCCATAGATGTATTTGTAGCCTTACCTACATCGCCTGCCACTGCTACTGTAAAACGATTTCTAATGTCTGCATTAATACCCGCGTCGCTTTCATCAAAATCATTAGGATTAATAATACAATCAGTTGCATTTGTCACGAGTTTTAATTCAATTGTTAAATTACCCATGTATTTTAACGGGAGGAACTTAAATTGCGAAAATATGCCCGCTAGCGGTTTGAAACAGCAAGTCATTTCATTATAAAAACCTGGACAATTAGCACTATTAACTTCATAAGTTAAAGCACTTCCGCCTTTTGTTACTAATGTTAATAATTCATCGTCGTATCTATAACCGAAACCTTCATTAGCTTCATCGCGTCTTGCTCCTTGTGACATCATTTTAGAAAACATATGATGAACACGATTGTAATTATCAAAATCTTCAACAACCTGAGAACCAGCAATAATTCTCATTCGTCTGAAAAAGGAATATGGAGATGATAATGGACGAATTTTTCTAAAATTAGTTCCATCTTTATTACTTAGAGTAAAACATATTCTTACACTTTGGGGGTCTAGCCATGCATTTTCCACGAAACTCCAGAACCGTATATTGCATAAAGATTCGTGAAACAGTCTCCGGGCTCAATATGTAGAATGCCCGAGAATATAATAAGTATTGGAGCCAGTTATCAAAAATGCTCCCGAATATATTCGCACAACTGAAGACGCGATCTTCTTTTCTTCTGAGCACTCGAAAGGGGCTGTTCGAAAAGGGTTTTCGCACCGACAACTTCGGTGCACAACACGTGTGGTAGAGTTTCCACAAAGCGGTTTGCGGTAAGAGAATCCGCTATGTGTCAGCACCCGATTGCCCCCCCAGGAGTGGGTGGGTGGGACAGAAATTTTCTCCGTGGCCCCCAAAGCCACTTGAGCTACAAACTGCCGGTGCATTAAACATTCGGAACTGCGACATGCGTGAAAAGAACTGCATGTAAAGGCCAGACAGGCATAAAAACGTTTGTGTGATAAAATCATGATTTCACACAAATTTAAAAGATTGAAATCATGCAATTAAACGGTTCGGGGCTGAGCGACTTCGAGAAGACCGCTCAGCTGCTGTCCGAGGTCCTCGCGGGTCGGGTGAAACATCCCGCAACATGCTGAGTCATCTAGGAGAGTGCGAAGCTGTGCAGCACAAGTCCCGAGCGATGATCATCAGCGACACTATTAACAAAAGACGAGGCAACATTAAGAGAGCCTTCGCCACACGTTGAATGGGAGGGAAGTCAGGAAGCCGCAGTCCGTCTGACATGTACCTCCTCTTGTGAAAAGCATCGAATTGGATGTATCAGATTAGCTACGCAATCACATCCGGAAACATTCCGAGCAGCAACTAACGGTTCGGAAAGAAGCTCGAAACAACATGGCCTGAGCAGCAAAGCTACGGATCAGGTCAAAAGCTCGGAGCAGCAGAGCTACAAATCCGAGAAGAACTCAAAACTACACGGGAGGCTCTCACGTCACTTCAGAAGGCGTCGTCGGTGGAGCTCAGAGGACCTCGCTTCCGCAGCCCACAGCAGCCGCCCTTGTAGTAGACGACGAAGAGGAGGAAGGGTGAGCCAGCAGCCCAAACCAGCAGCAGCAGCGCCAGACCAGAGAGGCAGAGCAGTGCCGCTCTCGGTTTACGCCAAGAGCACAGCCAGTCCACACAGGAACCCCTAGGGAAGGGGACAGGGCCTAAACCCGAACAACCCAAAAGGGAGCAAGGGCCGTCAAGAAAGGATGCCACGTGAAGTCAAGAAAGCGTGAGGCATCACGCGCACGCGAAAGGTGTTAAATGCGAAAACCCCCAGGCCATCATCAGCAGCCCAAGTAGAGCATAAACGCATTCAGCGAGAAGCCAAAGCGCACCTCATTGCACACAGGGCTCCTAAGGGGAGGGAAGGGCCTAAACCCGAAAAAACCCAAAAGGAGAGGACCAGCCTAAAGAAACGAGCCCACACCAGCAGCAGCAGTGCCAGGCAGAAGCCAGGCAAGCAGCGCTCGGAGTGGTTCGAAGCACGCACCCGGTAGAAGCGGATGGGCCATAGCAAGGTCAGCAAAAGATTGTTACAAGAAACATCCCAGAATCAGGGACTCCCGCCGGCAGCAGCATCGCCACACAAGGAAGCATTGCCGCGCTCAGCAGAAGGGCCTGAGCTCACGCAAGATGCACAAGAGTACCCCGAGGGGAGAGGGGCCTAAACCCAAGAAACCCAAAGGGGAGGCAAGGGCATCGCGGAGCCACGGAGGCCTGGGAAAGCGAGCTCCACACAATAGCAGCAGCACCACGCAACAAGCGAGGCCGCGCTCATGCATAGAGGAGTTTACGCCAGGTGCACACCGGAACCTCTAGGGGAGAGAAGGGGCCTAAACCCGAGCAAACCCGAAGGGGAGAGGGCAGGGAGTGAAAGTTCGTTCCGCCCGGCACATGAAAGCACAAGCTGCACACACACGAAAGACATACCAAGGGCAATCAAAGAATTGAGGAGCCAAAGGTAAGTAGTCATAGAGCATTCTGGTGCGGCCAAACTAGTCAAGGCCCAGCCCCTGCGGGCTCAGCATCATCAAGGGGAACACTTTTCACATGTTTGTCCAGCTTCTCGGCAGCAGCTGCCGCAAGTCTGATGGTAGCCAGCTCCCAATCCCGAGCCTGCTCACACTGTTGATGCCATCGCTCCCGGAGAGAGCCCAAGAGCCTGTTTTGCATGCAATTGCCCGCCGCCAGATCTGCAGCATGGTTAAAGGCGCGGAGCACATCCGCATCGTGATCCGGCGAAGGCCGCCAGCGGGGGTGCTTATTGTGTGACGGCACCCAAATCAAGGAGATAGCACAGCCGCGCCTCACCAGTTCCTTCCAGAGACGGCGCGCGTCCCTCAGCAAGAGGCCCAACTTAAAGGGATCATCACCATGGCCCGAGATGGCCGTCAGGGCAGCTTTGCAGTCGGTCAAGATGAAAATGCACGTCTCGCAGCCCTCACTCCACACCCGGTGGACCGAAGCAAAGGCCGCGTGGAGGGCCAGAACTTCCTGCCGATACGGGGATTGATCCTCTGCCCCAGTGCCCATGGCATAGACACAAGACGGATCGCCGATCACCACCGCATAAGCACCGACAGATCGATGGCTGGAGCCATCAGTAGCCGCATAAATCCTGCTCCTGCCAGAGCCGAGGGCAGCACGGAAAGCAGCATCCAAGTCCGCCCGAAAAGCCCCACAGTCAGAGGCGGCAGGCGCCGGAGGTTTCAAGGGAGTCGACTTGGCAAACATGCGCTCCTCCGCCCGATTCGTCGGAGGGGGGTGATCCCGCCGGAGCGCCTCGGTGCACTCGCAAACCCAGGTCACATGCGGTCGCGACGGAGCAGTCGCTCCGCAGAGGCACTGCATGCGCCTATGCTGCTCGTTCAAGCCCTGCCCGGCCGTAAAGAACCAGCACGAGCCTCCCGTGACAGCAGCAGCCCGTCTCATATAAGGAGTGGTCGCCTCATGCATGGCAACGCGGTGCCCACGAAAGCTGAAGCGCGCATCCCGCGACGGAGGTGCCAGATCCAGGCCGCGCGCAAGGCTCGGGTCCGGCCTATGAAAGCTCCGCCAGACGCGCTGGCATCTCTGCATGTAAAGGTGCCGGTAATGGTCAAACAGCCAGCCCTTAACCTCAGCAAAGCTCTCCCATCCGACCTGCACCTCACGAGAGATCCCTAAGTCATCACGGCAGGCGAAAAAGAAGCCATCAGGGCGTTCAACAACGCTCCACCCCAATTTGCGAAGGAGGCCAGGCGCAGCAGGCAACAGCTGATCCCAGCGCTGGCCCCGGGCATCACGCGGCTGCTCCAGAGCAAAGGCCGGAGGCTTGCAGAGGAGGCGCCAGGCCTCGCGGAGCACAGCAGAGTCAGCAGCGCACTGTGGCTCCAGCATCCACCCCACATGTTCGAAGATCAGGACACGCGGGGCTTCAAAGGAAAATTGACAGTCAAAAACACGAATCGCAGCATCTCTAACTTGCTTCATCTCGCCTGCCAGTGGCGTGGCATAGGCAGCGGCCCACACCAAGCACGGGTAAACAAGTGATTTCAGCATGAGGGCCCGCAGTCGACTGCAAGCGGTCACCCAGCGCAAAAGGTCCATGCGCAGCAAAGCTTTTCTCAAGGAAAATTTCAGCAAGCCCCATTCATCATTAAAGGAAACAGTGACACCTAAGACTTCAAGGGTTTGCGAAAACTGATAGTTGAATCGGGCAGCCAGAGCAGAGGCCTCGACATGACCCTCCGGCGCCACGATCGCACACTTTGGCAGGGAAATTTCAAGACCACAAGTGGCATCGAATCGGTCGGAGCGCCGAATCGCATGCTCCAGGTCGCCAAGATCCGCAGAGAAAGTCCAGAAGGACCGGTCGTCCAGGTAGACCAGGCCTGAAACCCCTTGCCTCAACACAGCCAAGGTCCAAAGGTGGCTAAATGCGGCAGCAAGGGTGGGACTTAAGGGACAACCCTGAGCTATACCCAAGCGGGGCTTAAACCAGGCATCACTGTATGCACCATCAAGTTGGACGATGCGCGAAGCTCGCGTGTAAAAGGCCTTCAGCAGCGGCCAAAGAAAAGGCGGCGCTTTCAAATGAGAAAGGAGGACCTCTAGGGCTTCAAACTGGATGGCATCAAAGAACCCCGCAATGTCCTGTTGAACCGCAACGTTAGCGCCACCGCGCATTGCAGCATTCAGCTGAAGCAGGGCACCCGACACCGACGTGCCCGGGATGCCACCGGCATCCGACGGAGAGCTCCAAGAACCTATCCAGTCGGAGAGTTGGGCATTCAAAATCCTTGCTCCCGCACGCCAGACAGCTTGAGAGATGGTTAACGGCCTGAAGCCCCCCTTGATTTTCTTAATCATCACCACACGTGCCTGTGCCCACTGGGCGGGGACGTCACAACAAGCAAGGCACCGATTCCACAGCTGGGAGGTCCACACCCACCAAAGATCAGGCATGGAACATAGCAGTCCAGGTTTCCACGCATCCGGCCCGGCAGCACGGTGCCTCATGGACTGCATTGAGCGTCGGAGAGCCTCTGGCGTGATGTTAGGCACGACCTCCGAGCTTGCGGGGCGCGGCAGGGGCCGCAACAGATCACGCATGGCCTGCATGTCAACCGCCCTAAAGGACGCGGGACAGAGCTTCGCCCGCAGGTCCTTTGCCACAGCTGCAACCGCGACCGCCGGATGTGCAGGGTCGCCCGGACTGGCAACATCCGGAAGCTGACGCTCCCAAGCAAGCTGCTCATCAGCGCGCCGCTTCACAAAAGACCGGGCACGAGGCAGGTCAGCACGCGTCCTGGTGCGCCACATCTGCTTTCTTGCCTCCTCCTCCTGCTGCGTGAAAGTCTCAATGAGCTGTGCAACATGTGGGAGAAGAGAGAGCTCATCGCCATCACGGGCATAAGGCAGGCTGGGCACCTTCAAGCGCGTGGACCGGAGTGAGCGCCTGATTCGCGCCACCAGCAAAGCATCGTTCGTCCGGTGGGAAAGAACCTGAAGCCTCGCACGGAGTCGCAGCAAAAGGCGCAGGCCCTCCGACTTCACAAGCTGCTTGCCAGCCCGTCCCGCCGCACTGTGGGCGACAGGCTCCCAGGAAGACGCGCGAGGAACGCACTCTGCAGAGCACGGCTCACACAGCAAAAGCTCGGCGGTGTTCGACAAGAAGCGCCAAGCCCCGTCCAAATCATTCTGTTCCAAGGCGCTCGCAAAAGGGCCAGCATCAATTTGAGCACATCTGGACTCCAAGTCAGAAGACTGGAGATCATCACGAGGCTTACATCGCTTAGGCCCAACCAAGGGGCAAGGAGCATCAAGGGCATACGAGTAGTGTACCCCCAAGTGGTCCGAAAAATCGCACGTAAAGTGATCCACAGAAACCGCAGGCAAGTCACGATGATTAACAGCAAAATCAATGCGACGAGAGCGCACTCCTTGGGCATTGACCGGGCCCGTGGCAGGAAGGGGCCGGCCACGCGCACATTCATCACCAGCAAGCACGGTGCCTTGCGAAATTAGCGATCCTAAGCGGCCTTGGGAAGGCTCAAGGTTGTAGTCGCCCAAAACCACAAACCTATAACCCGAGGCAACCGCACACTCCAAAACCTCATCCACTTGTGTCTGGGCAACTGGCTCGTTGCCGGCCTGGCCATAAAAGGCCACCACCAGGATGGTTTCATCAGTGGCACTCCGGGAGCTCGCAGGGAGCGAAGAATCATCCTCAGGGAGGGATCGCAAATTGAAGAGTCCCGCCACGTGCCTGGTGGAAGCAGGACCCTTACACAGCTGGACATGCCGAAAAGGAAAATCGCTGACCAAAGCAACCCGGCTGCCGAGATCCTCAGGAGCACTCAGAGCAACATGCCGGCCATGCGCTTTCCACTGGTTGCGATAGCCGATGCCAGCCGTTTCAGGAACATTGACCTCGGACAACGCCACAATCTGTGGGGGGCCTTGCCGAAGCAGAGCATCGAGCATCCCCACCGTCGACGTGCCACGCCGGTGAACATTCAAGCACGAAAGTCGAATCACACCGACGACATGGGGGCTCGCAAGGCCTTTTCAGCAGCAGCGAAGGCGAGCTCGCCTTGCTCTTTGCGAACAGAGGCAGGAGCAGCATCATGAAGCTTCTTATTGGCAGCAAGGGAGCGCAACCGAATCCACGCCCTCGCCTTAGCAGTGCGAGAAGGGCACTGTCCCTTGACCGACCGATGTTTCCTAGCGATCTCTGCAGAGGGGCACGGCGCTCGGCATTTGCGGCACACCCAAGCCGGGCATATGCGCAAGGGATACTTATCAACAGTATTGGTGTCCTTCCCAGCCTGGCGCGGCCACCCGAAGGCATCAAAGTCCTGAGCCTCCAGCTCGCGCAGCACCGGCAGGAGCTTAGCCTTCTGGGCATTGTTGCGAGTGACACTGATCTTTGAGGCCCATTTGGTGGCCGAGTGTGATTTCGCTTCCTTGTTCCACACAGCCCAAGAGACGCGCGGGTGGGCCTGTGTTTTATGCTCCCGGCGAAAGCGGCACAGAGAGTCCTTGCCAAAACGGGCCGCATCAGCAGTAGAGATGCCTGCCTGGCACCGTTTGCATCTCCAGTACGCCCCCTCGCCATCAGCGAGGTCACGAACACAGGAAGCCTTGCGGGCAGGAGCGAGCCCAAGCTTCTCCCCCGGATGCGAATCCAAGAAGTGCCGCTGATAGGCCGCATAGGCCTTCACAGGATCAGTACACTTGCGGCGAAAGGGACAAAGCCTGCATTTAGCAACTCCATCAGGGAAGGCTCGGCCGCGATTACGACGGGCCATCACAAGGGCAGATTGAGGCAGGGCCCGGCTGGCATGATGCAACCGCTCAGGTTGCGGGGCATCATCATCGTCGCACTCCGGCAAGGCAGGCATTTGAGAATGCACGGAAGCACCAGAGGAGACGGCTCGGGACCAGACCGTCGCAGCAGCACCGCGAGCGCGCTTAAGAGAAGAAGCGGTCTTTCTGCTCGACGCGTTGGTGACAGTCCACACAGTGCCCGCCTTCACAGAGGATGATCGGCTGGCCTTGGATCGGTTTGATCGGGCGCAAGCAGTCCAAACAGTACCAGAGCACTGGGAAACATCATCCCCTCCAGCCCTCAGGTCAACGACAGCACCACTCGTAACGGAGAAAACCTCCTCTGGGTAGTCTTTAGCATCCTTAGCTGGCAAAAGAAGCTCGATGTGCCGAGGCGTGTACCATAACACCAGCCTCCTTTTGCGCTGCTGCGCATGAAACGACATCGCACTAAAATTCCCATCGCGTGGGATCACAAGGATGTGGCAATCAAATAAACGTCCGAGAGCCTTCAGCTCGATGGTAGAGGCGTATGCAGATTCCGAAGCAATTAACTTGAGGTATTCCTCAAAGGCGTCCTCCGGAGATGCGGCATTTTCGCGCAATTTTTGTAGAGCCGGCCCGTGGCCGTCCCATTCCCCTATATATTGCGAAGCATATTTTCGTAAGTGCTCTACACAGCGCGCCCTCAAGTCCCTGTGGGAGTGCTCAGTTTTCTTAGGGCCCGAAAGCCAGTGGAGGCCACGCGCTATGGCGTGAAACAAACAGGCTCCGTCTTTCGGAGTCTCAATGAGATCACACCCCGAGGGGATTTGCCGATGCGAAGCCGCAACATGTTTGGCAGGGGACACCTCCTTACCGTCATCATCCAGTTCAGCGGGGACCTGAATTTTAACGGATTGGGGCTCCAATGCAGGCTTCTCCTTGGCAAGACAGGGAGTCGGCGCACATCGCAGAGGTCGCTGCTTAGCTTGCTTAGGCTTATAGGGTGCAACCGTAGCCCACAGCGTGATTTCATTGTCCTTCCCCGGCTCGCTCTCGACGATAGCACTCAAAGGAACCAGATCAAGATCGCCGTGTTTAAGCGTAGCTCTGAAGCGATACAAGTACTCAGCGCCAGTGCGCTTATGCTGAATCAAAGCCACATCCTTGAAGGATTGGTCCAGCACCTGCAGCACTTCCTTCTGTCCCCAGCTAGCCGGCACATGAGGGAAATTCCAAACACGCGGGACAGCCTGTGAGGGATCCCTAGGCGATCTGGCGCCAATGCGTCCGCCCTGGGTGGCAAGGCCATAAGGAGCACTCATGCGGAGGCCGCGTTCAAGGTACGCAGTCGGAGCTTCCCCCTTGGTAACAGCAAGCCACTGCACAGTGGAGACAAGCTTGCCGCGCGGCACATCAACAAAAACTCCATCCCGGCCACTGACAGCAACGAGAGAAGACAACTCGGAGTCCAGGAGGCGAGCAATGCCAAACAACTGCAGTCCTTGCTTGCCAGCCTGCTGCTCCTCGACCCAACCCCACGTGTCACTCAAAGTGATTTGGTGAGAGCTTGCCCAAGAAGAAGCAGCACGACTCGGGTTGTTCTTCCAATGCTTGAATTTATCAGGCGTCATGTACATCTCAGGCACCTTAAAGTAGACGACCGAAGTGGACGCAGGAACAACTTTAATGGCCTTGGCCTTGTGCCCCGCAAAGCAAGGGACACCACCATCAGCAGGGTCAGATTTGCAATGTGCAATCGAGGCTCGTCGAAAACGTAGGAGATCACCCACACTTCCCGGGACCTTGTGAGGACCATTCGCGTCCAAGGTAACAAGGGTGATTTTATGGGATTTGCTGGTGCCTGCAAGCATGGTGCGAATTCTCGGCAGCGCCGAGGGCTCAACAAGAATGACAGCTTCCAGAGTAGAACCCGGTTTAAGTTCGTCCAATGCTTTGGCAATGCCATCCTGCGACAACAACTGCGCGCTCCAATCCTGCCTTCGGAGCTGGAAGGGGCCCTGCGGGGGAGCACGCTGAACCTTGGTCCAGCCCTCAGCATCACGAGGAGGCCGGTCGCCCTGCCCTTTGCCCTTAGGTCCAGACTTGGGTGGGGCCGCCTCTGCACTGCCTTTAGCAGCACCCTTGGCCGAGCCCTTTGCAGCAGCAGGCTGACCACCTCTGCCACCAGCTGCTTTGCCCTCGCCCGGCTCACGAGACGAAGGATGACGGCTCGACTCATGGTTTTTTCGCTTGTTGCTGGGGTTAGGGTCAGGCTTATGGCGCTTGGGCCCTCGCTCCAAGTCCGGCTCCTGCAGCACAACACGGGGAGGGGTTGCCGGGGCACCTCCCATTGCATTTGCAATGGCTTCCTGCACAGCTTTCTGAATGAGCGCAGTGATCATGGGCATAAGCTGTTCCGTGATGCTGGCCATCATGCCCTCAAACGGGTTGCCGCCTCCAAACCTTAGGCCAGTGGGACCCGAGCAGCCCTCAGACAAGCAGGAGCGCAAGATAGCAGCAGAGTCCAGGTCCTGACCCGAGATCCCTTGCACTTGCCCGTCACCACCCTGCCTCGGAAGAGGCTGCCCATCAGCAGGCCGCAGTCCACAATCGCAGTTGTGCATCGCACCAGAGCATACCTCGCACACACGTGTTGGAAGCAGGCTGCTCGGGGCCAAATGGGATATACTCGGACCTTTCGGCCTACCTTGACCCACTGACCCCTGCAACTGCACACAGACAGGCGGGCTTCTCGGATCAAGCATGTCAGCATGGTACCCGCAACACAGACAGCAAGGCGTCAAACAACCAGGGGCCACGCGGGATATACTCGGGCCTTTCGGCCTGTCTTGACCCAGTGGCCCCTGCACATCAGAAGCTACAGGCTCACTCTGAGGCAAGACCGCACATGTCGGCACAGCATCTCGCCCTCTCAGGGGCTTGCAAGTGCACTCGGGTACTCCTAAAGGCACAGGAGGGTGTCTAAACCGAAGGGGCGAAGGGAAACCCTGTTGAAGGCAATCACCACCACACTCAGCACGGTCCTGGGACTGCTCGACGAGACCACAGTCCCCTCGACCCACGGATGCATTACACGCCGACGGCGGCCTGTATTGGGAAGGCCCCCGGAGCCCTGGGTCAGCGACCCCACCTCCTCCTGACAAAAACTCCAAATCCGGATTGCACCCACCGCCTGGGCTCCGGGGGCACGCTCTATTAGGCATCACAAGATCACCCCGATCAGCTGTTGCACTAGCCTGGACATCAGACACCCAAGAGGGCAACGGCCTAAACCCTAGGGGAGAAAGTGGAGCTTGGGCAGTGCAGCAATGGGGCAGCGCATCGCCCCCAAAAGAAGACACGGGAACCCCTAAGGGGGAGGACCTAAACCCTAGGGGTGCAGAGGAACCACGGCACGGGCAGCAGCCCCAGGAAGAAGCATCGTCGGCCCCAGTGTCCTTGCCCTGCGCGATGAAGAACTGGCCGCCACCGTCGCCAGCCGCCAGCAAGCCCAGGCCATGGCAGCAGCACTGCGAGGAGGGAGAACAGGGGGGCTCCGGGGAGCCATGTCTACCACTAGAACTAGTAGCAGGCACCAGAGGCCCGGTATCAGTCTCACTCTTTGCCCTTTCGCGGGTCTTGATAGTGCTGAGCTCCCACAGAACACTAAGAACACGGCCATAAAGGCTCATCGTCCTACGGTCAGGCTCGCACTCACCATCACAATCGGCACTAGTTAGGCCTCTCAGGCTCTTTGCCCTTTCGCGGGTCTTGTTGATTTCTTGACACACACAATCATCACTAGCTAGGCCTCTAAGGCTCTTTGCCCTTTCACGGGTCTTGTTGATTTCTTGAATGTCACACACAGGGTTCTCAGCAGCGCAAGTCGACGTCCCACATGGCCCAGCACCAAGGTCCAGACCAGATGCTGAGGGAAGAAGCTGCTGCTGCGGCGCGTAGTAAAGAAATTCCTCAGAGAAAGTGTCCTCAATCAAGTGGAGCCCAAATGCTGCACTTGCCTGCGGCACGTAGTAAAGAAACTCCTCAGAGAAAGTGTCCTCAATCATGTGAAGCCCAAATGTTGCACTTGCCTGCGTGTCAGAAGCATGCACACAAAGCTCACTCGCCAAAGGGAGCCCCTGAGCAGGGCAGTCATCCCCAGCAATAGCAAGGGCATCCTCTCGACAAACACCCATCGAGAGCTGCACCTGAGACTCATCCTCGGCAGATGCAAGAGCGATCCCCGACTGCCAAGGATCTGCCACGGCAGCAGAGTTGCTGCCCCCACTGGTGCCATCTGAGCTGGCCCCCACTGAAGCCCCTGACCACAAGCCAAAGGCCCCTACTGCACTCCACACCATAGTTCTCGGCACACCACGTTGAGCCAAGCAATCAAAATCCTTCTGGAACAGCTGAAGCTGAAAATCACGTGCTCGAACAATGAAAGCGCTCAGCATTTGCAGGCGCTGAGCCACCCACGGTTGCGCATCTCGGTCATTGCCAGACGCTTTGCCCCAGCTGCCGAAGCAGCTCTTGTCTTTCCCATTCACTTCTTTTCCCAACAAAGAAGCACCATCACTCAAAGCACAATTCATTCGCTTCAACGATCGCCGTAAGTGTAGGTAGCACCCACAATCAAGGCCTCCAGAAGAAGGAGCCATGGCCCGAAGGCACGTGTGGGAAGTGTCAGCCCTGCACTCGGGAAAGTACAGGTTAACCAGCTCAAGGCACGCGGAGCCCCTCCCCACTTGAGCCACAAAACTCCAGAATTTCCGGTGGTCTAGGGGCTGAGCGACTTCGAGAAGACCGCTCAGCTGCTGTCCGAGGTCCTCGCGGGTCGGGTGAAACATCCCGCAACATGCTGAGTCATCTAGGAGAGTGCGAAGCTGTGCAGCACAAGTCCCGAGCGATGATCATCAGCGACACTATTAACAAAAGACGAGGCAACATTGAGAGCCTTCGCCACACGTTGAATGGGAGGGAAGTCAGGAAGCCGCAGTCCGTCTGACATGTACCTCCTCTTGTGAAAAGCATCGAAATGGATGTATCAGATTAGCTACGCAATCACATCCGGAAACATTCCGAGCAGCAACTAACGGTTCGGAAAGAAGCTCGAAACAACATGGCCTGAGCAGCAAAGCTACGGATCAGGTCAAAAGCTCGGAGCAGCAGAGCTACAAATCCGAGAAGAACTCAAAACTACACGGGAGGCTCTCACGTCACTTCAGAAGGCGTCGTCGGTGGAGCTCAGAGGACCTCGCTTCCGCAGCCCACAGCAGCCGCCCTTGTAGTAGACGACGAAGAGGAGGAAGGGTGAGCCAGCAGCCCAAACCAGCAGCAGCAGCGCCAGACCAGAGAGGCAGAGCAGTGCCGCTCTCGGTTTACGCCAAGAGCACAGCCAGTCCACACAGGAACCCCTAGGGAAGGGGACAGGGCCTAAACCCGAACAACCCAAAAGGGAACAAGGGCCGTCAAGAAAGGATGCCACGTGAAAGTCAAGAAAGCGTGAGGCATCACGCGCACGCGAAAGGTGTTGAATGCGAAAACACCCAGGCCATCATCAGCAGCCCAAGTAGAGCATAAACGCATTCGGCGAGAGGCCAAAGCGCACCTCATTGCACACAGGGCTCCTAAGGGGAGGGAAGGGCCTAAACCCGAAAAACCCAAAAGGAGAGGACCAGCCTAAAGAAACGAGTCCACACCAGCAGCAGCAGTGCTAGGCAGGAGCCAGGCAAGCAGCGCTCGGAGTGGTTCGAGCACGCACCCGGTAGAAGCGGATGGGCCATAGCAAGGTCAGCAAAAGATTGTTACAAGAAACATCCCAGAATCAGGGACTCCCGCCGGCAGCAGCATCGCCACACAAGGAAGCATTGCCGCGCTCAGCAGAAGGGCCTGAGCTCACGCAAGATGCACAAGAGTACCCCGAGGGGAGAGGGGCCTAAACCCAAGAAACCCAAAGGGGAGGCAAGGGCATCGCGGAGCCACGGAGGCCTGGGAAAGCGAGCTCCACACAATAGCAGCAGCACCACGCAACAAGCAAGGCCGCGCTCATGCATAGAGGAGTTTACGCCAGGTGCACACCGGAACCTCTAGGGGAGAGAAGGGGCCTAAACCCGAGCAAACCCGAAGGGGAGAGGGCAGGGAGTGAAAGTTCGTTCTGCCCGGCACATGAAAGCACAAGCTGCGCACACACGAAAGACATACCAAGGGCAATCAAGGAATTGAGGAGCCAAAGGTAAGTAGTCATAGAGCATTCTGGTGCGGCCAAACTAGTCAAGGCCCAGCCCCTGCGGGCTCAGCATCATCAAGGGGAACACTTTTCACATGTTTGTCCAGCTTCTCGGCAGCAGCTGCCGCAAGTCTGACGGTAGCCAGCTCCCAATCCCGAGCCTGCTCACACTGTTGATGCCATCGCTCCCGGAGAGAGCCCAAGAGCCTGTTTTGCATGCAATTGCCCGCCGCCTGATCTGCAGCATGGTTAAAGGCGCGGAGCACATCCGCATCGTGATCCGGCGAAGGCCGCCAGCGGGGGTGCTTATTGTGTGACGGCACCCAAATCAAGGAGATAGCACAGCCGCGCCTCACCAGTTCCTTCCAGAGACGGCGCGCGTCCCTCAGCAAGAGGCCCAACTTAAAGGGATCATCACCATGGCCCGAGATGGCCGTCAGGGCAGCTTTGCAGTCGGTCAAGATGAAAATGCACGTCTCGCAGCCCTCACTCCACACCCGGTGGACCGAAGCAAAGGCCGCGTGGAGGGCCAGAACTTCCTGCCGATACGGGGATTGATCCTCTGCCCCAGTGCCCATGGCATAGACACAAGACGGATCGCCGATCACCACCGCATAAGCACCGACAGATCGATGGCTGGAGCCATCAGTAGCCGCATAAATCCTGCTCCTGCCAGAGCCGAGGGCAGCACGGAAAGCAGCATCCAAGTCCGCCCGAAAAGCCCCACAGTCAGAGGCGGCAGGCGCCGGAGGTTTCAAGGGAGTCGACTTGGCAAACATGCGCTCCTCCGCCCGATTCGTCGGAGGGGGGTGATCCCGCCGGAGCGCCTCGGTGCACTCGCAAACCCAGGTCACATGCGGTCGCGACGGAGCAGTCGCTCCGCAGAGGCACTGCATGCGCCTATGCTGCTCGTTCAAACCCTGCCCGGCCGTAAAGAACCAGCACGAGCCTCCCGTGACAGCAGCAGCCCGTCTCATATAAGGAGTGGTCGCCTCATGCATGGCAACGCGGTGCCCACGAAAGCTGAAGCGCGCATCCCGCGACGGAGGTGCCAGATCCAGGCCGCGTGCAAGGCTCGGGTCCGGCCTATGAAAGCTCCGCCAGACGCGCTGGCATCTCTGCATGTAAAGGTGCCGGTAATGGTCAAACAGCCAGCCCTTAACCTCAGCAAAGCTCTCCCATCCGACCTGCACCTCACGAGAGATCCCTAAGTCATCACGGCAGGCGAAAAAGAAGCCATCAGGGCGTTCAACAACGCTCCACCCCAATTTGCGAAGGAGGCCAGGCGCAGCAGGCAACAGCTGATCCCAGCGCTGGCCCCGGGCATCACGCGGCTGCTCCAGAGCAAAGGCCGGAGGCTTGCAGAGGAGGCGCCAGGCCTCGCGGAGCACAGCAGAGTCAGCAGCGCACTGTGGCTCCAGCATCCACCCCACATGTTCGAAGATCAGGACACGCGGGGCTTCAAAGGAAAATTGACAGTCAAAAACACGAATCGCAGCATCTCTAACTTGCTTCATCTCGCCTGCCAGTGGCGTGGCATAGGCAGCGGCCCACACCAAGCACGGGTAAACAAGTGATTTCAGCATGAGGGCCCGCAGTCGACTGCAAGCGGTCACCCAGCGCAAAAGGTCCATGCGCAGCAAAGCTTTTCTCAAGGAAAATTTCAGCAAGCCCCATTCATCATTAAAGGAAACAGTGACACCTAAGACTTCAAGGGTTTGCGAAAACTGATAGTTGAATCGGGCAGCCAGAGCAGAGGCCTCGACATGACCCTCCGGCGCCACGATCGCACACTTTGGCAGGGAAATTTCAAGACCACAAGTGGCATCGAATCGGTCGGAGCGCCGAATCGCATGCTCCAGGTCGCCAAGATCCGCAGAGAAAGTCCAGAAGGACCGGTCGTCCAGGTAGACCAGGCCTGAAACCCCTTGCCTCAACACAGCCAAGGTCCAAAGGTGGCTAAATGCGGCAGCAAGGGTGGGACTTAAGGGACAACCCTGAGCTATACCCAAGCGGGGCTTAAACCAGGCATCACTGTATGCACCATCAAGTTGGACGATGCGCGAAGCTCGCGTGTAAAAGGCCTTCAGCAGCGGCCAAAGAAAAGGCGGCGCTTTCAAATGAGAAAGGAGGACCTCTAGGGCTTCAAACTGGATGGCATCAAAGAACCCCGCAATGTCCTGTTGAACCGCAACGTTAGCGCCACCGCGCATTGCAGCATTCAGCTGAAGCAGGGCACCCGACACCGACGTGCCCGGGATGCCACCGGCATCCGACGGAGAGCTCCAAGAACCTATCCAGTCGGAGAGTTGGGCATTCAAAATCCTTGCTCCCGCACGCCAGACAGCTTGAGAGATGGTTAACGGCCTGAAGCCCCCCTTGATTTTCTTAATCATCACCACACGTGCCTGTGCCCACTGGGCGGGGACGTCACAACAAGCAAGGCACCGATTCCACAGCTGGGAGGTCCACACCGTGTGGGTCCACACCCACCAAAGATCAGGCATGGAACATAGCAGTCCAGGTTTCCACGCATCCGGCCCGGCAGCACGGTGCCTCATGGACTGCATTGAGCGTCGGAGAGCCTCTGGCGTGATGTTAGGCACGACCTCCGAGCTTGCGGGGCGCGGCAGGGGCCGCAACAGATCACGCATGGCCTGCATGTCAACCGCCCTAAAGGACGCGGGACAGAGCTTCGCCCGCAGGTCCTTTGCCACAGCTGCAACCGCGACCGCCGGATGTGCAGGGTCGCCCGGACTGGCAACATCCGGAAGCTGACGCTCCCAAGCAAGCTGCTCATCAACGCGCCGCTTCACAAAAGACCGGGCACGAGGCAGGTCAGCACGCGTCCTGGTGCGCCACATCTGCTTTCTTGCCTCCTCCTCCTGCTGCATGAAAGTCTCAATGAGCTGTGCAACATGTGGGAGAAGAGAGAGCTCATCGCCATCACGGGCATAAGGCAGGCTGGGCACCTTCAAGCGCGTGGACCGGAGTGAGCGCCTGATTCGCGCCACCAGCAAAGCATCGTTCGTCCGGTGGGAAAGAGCCTGAAGCCTCGCACGGAGTCGCAGCAAAAGGCGCAGGCCCTCCGACTTCACAAGCTGTTTGCCAGCCCGTCCCGCCGCACTGTGGGCGACAGGCTCCCAGGAAGACGCGCGAGGAACGCACTCTGCAGAGCACGGCTCACACAGCAGAAGCTCGGCGGTGTCCGACAAGAAGCGCCAAGCCCCGTCCAAATCATTCTGTTCCAAGGCGCTCGCAAAGGGTCCAGCATCAATTTGAGCACATCTGGACTCCAAGTCAGAAGACTGGAGATCATCACGAGGCTTACATCGCTTGGGCCCAACCAAGGGACAAGGAGCATCAAGGGCATACGAGTAGTGTACCCCCAAGTGGTCCGAAAAATCGCACGTAAAGTGATCCACAGAAACCGCAGGCAAGTCACGATGATTAACAGCAAAATCAATGCGACGAGAGCGCACTCCTTGGGCATTGACCGGGCCCGTGGCAGGAAGGGGCCGGCCACGCGCACATTCATCACCAGCAAGCACGGTGCCTTGCGAAATTAGCGATCCTAAGCGGCCTTGGGAAGGCTCAAGGTTGTAGTCGCCCAAAACCACAAACCTATAACCCGAGGCAACCGCACACTCCAAAACCTCATCCACTTGTGTCTGGGCAACTGGCTCGTTGCCGGCCTGGCCATAAAAGGCCACCACCAGGATGGTTTCATCAGTGGCACTCCGGGAGCTCGCAGGGAGCGAAGAATCATCCTCAGGGAGGGATCGCAAATTGAAGAGTCCCGCCACGTGCCTGGTGGAAGCAGGACCCTTACACAGCTGGACATGCCGAAAAGGAAAATCGCTGACCAAAGCAACCCGGCTGCCGAGATCCTCAGGAGCACTCAGAGCAACATGCCGGCCATGCGCTTTCCACTGGTTGCGATAGCCGATGCCAGCCGTTTCAGGAACATTGACCTCGGACAACGCCACAATCTGTGGGGGGCCTTGCCGAAGCAGAGCATCGAGCATCCCCACCGTCGACGTGCCACGCCGGTGAACATTCAAGCACGAAAGTCGAATCACACCGACGACATGGGGGCTCGCAAGGCCTTTTCAGCAGCAGCGAAGGCGAGCTCACCTTGCTCTTTGCGAACAGAGGCAGGAGCAGCATCATGAAGCTTCTTATTGGCAGCAAGGGAGCGCAACCGAATCCACGCCCTCGCCTTAGCAGTGCGAGAAGGGCACTGTCCCTTGACCGACCGATGTTTCCTAGCGATCTCTGCAGAGGGGCACGGCGCTCGGCATTTGCGGCACACCCAAGCCGGGCATATGCGCAAGGGATACTTATCAACAGTATTGGTGTCCTTCCCAGCCTGGCGCGGCCACCCGAAGGCATCAAAGTCCTGAGCCTCCAGCTCGCGCAGCACCGGCAGGAGCTTAGCCTTCTGGGCATTGTTGCGAGTGACACTGATCTTTGAGGCCCATTTGGTGGCCGAGTGTGATTTCGCTTCCTTGTTCCACACAGCCCAAGAGACGCGCGGGTGGGCCTGTGTTTTATGCTCCCGGCGAAAGCGGCACAGAGAGTCCTTGCCAAAACGGGCCGCATCAGCAGTAGAGATGCCTGCCTGGCACCGTTTGCATCTCCAGTACGCCCCCTCGCCATCAGCGAGGTCACGAACACAGGAAGCCTTGCGGGCAGGAGCGAGCCCAAGCTTCTCCCCCGGATGCGAATCCAAGAAGTGCCGCTGATAGGCCGCATAGGCCTTCACAGGATCAGCACACTTGCGGCGAAAGGGACAAAGCCTGCATTTAGCAACTCCATCAGGGAAGGCTCGGCCGCGATTACGACGGGCCATCACAAGGGCAGATTGAGGCAGGGCCCGGCTGGCATGATGCAACCGCTCAGGTTGCGGGGCATCATCATCGTCGCACTCCGGCAAGGCAGGCATTTGAGAATGCACGGAAGCACCAGAGGAGACGGCTCGGGACCAGACCGTCGCAGCAGCACCGCGAGCGCGCTTAAGAGAAGAAGCGGTCTTTCTGCTCGACGCGTTGGTGACAGTCCACACAGTGCCCGCCTTCACAGAGGATGATCGGCTGGCCTTAGATCGGTTTGATCGGGCGCAAGCAGTCCAAACAGTACCAGAGCACTGGGAAGCATCATCCCCTCCAGCCCTCAGGTCAACGACAGCACCACTCGTAACGGAGAAAACCTCCTCTGGGTAGTCTTTAGCATCCTTAGCTGGCAAAAGAAGCTCGATGTGCCGAGGCGTGTACCATAACACCAGCCTCCTTTTGCGCTGCTGCGCATGAAACGACATCGCACTAAAATTCCCATCGCGTGGGATCACAAGGATGTGGCAATCAAATAAACGTCCGAGAGCCTTCAGCTCGATGGTAGAGGCGTATGCAGATTCCGAAGCAATTAACTTGAGGTATTCCTCAAAGGCGTCCTCCGGAGATGCGGCATTTTCGCGCAATTTTTGTAGAGCCGGCCCGTGGCCGTCCCATTCCCCTATATATTGCGAAGCATATTTTCGTAAGTGCTCTACACAGCGCGCCCTCAAGTCCCTGTGGGAGTGCTCGGTTTTCTTAGGGCCCGAAAGCCAGTGGAGGCCACGCGCTATGGCGTGAAACAAACAGGCTCCGTCTTTCGGAGTCTCAATGAGATCACACCCCGAGGGGATTTGCCGATGCGAAGCCGCAACATGTTTGGCAGGGGACACCTCCTTACCGTCATCATCCAGTTCAGCGGGGACCTGAATTTTAACGGATTGGGGCTCCAATGCAGGCTTCTCCTTGGCAAGACAGGGAGTCGGCGCACATCGCAGAGGTCGCTGCTTAGCTTGCTTAGGCTTATAGGGTGCAACCGTAGCCCACAGCGTGATTTCATTGTCCTTCCCCGGCTCGCTCTCGACGATAGCACTCAAAGGAACCAGATCAAGATCGCCGTGTTTAAGCGTAGCTCTGAAGCGATACAAGTACTCAGCGCCAGTGCGCTTATGCTGAATCAAAGCCACATCCTTGAAGGATTGGTCCAGCACCTGCAGCACTTCCTTCTGTCCCCAGCTAGCCGGCACATGAGGGAAATTCCAAACACGCGGGACAGCCTGTGAGGGATCCCTAGGCCCTAGGCGATCTGGCGCCAATGCGTCCGCCCTGGGTGGCAAGGCCATAAGGAGCACTCATACGGAGGCCGCGTTCAAGGTACGCAGTCGGAGCTTCCCCCTTGGTAACAGCAAGCCACTGCACAGTGGAGACAAGCTTGCCGCGCGGCACATCAACAAAAACTCCATCCCGGCCACTGACAGCAACGAGAGAAGACAACTCGGAGTCCAGGAGGCGAGCAATGCCAAACAACTGCAGTCCTTGCTTGCCAGCCTGCTGCTCCTCGACCCAACCCCACGTGTCACTCAAAGTGATTTGGTGAGAGCTTGCCCAAGAAGAAGCAGCACGACTCGGGTTGTTCTTCCAATGCTTGAATTTATCAGGCGTCATGTACATCTCAGGCACCTTAAAGTAGACGACCGAAGTGGACGCAGGAACAACTTTAATGGCCTTGGCCTTGTGCCCCGCAAAGCAAGGGACACCACCATCAGCAGGGTCAGATTTGCAATGTGCAATCGAGGCTCGTCGAAAACGTAGGAGATCACCCACACTTCCCGGGACCTTGTGAGGACCATTCGCGTCCAAGGTAACAAGGGTGATTTTATGGGATTTGCTGGTGCCTGCAAGCATGGTGCGAATTCTCGGCAGCGCCGAGGGCTCAACAAGAATGACAGCTTCCAGAGTAGAACCCGGTTTAAGTTCGTCCAATGCTTTGGCAATGCCATCCTGCGACAACAACTGCGCGCTCCAATCCTGCCTTCGGAGCTGGAAGGGGCCCTGCGGGGGAGCACGCTGAACCTTGGTCCAGCCCTCAGCATCACGAGGAGGCCGGTCGCCCTGCCCTTTGCCCTTAGGTCCAGACTTGGGTGGGGCCGCCTCTGCACTGCCTTTAGCAGCACCCTTGGCCGAGCCCTTTGCAGCAGCAGGCTGACCACCTCTGCCACCAGCTGCTTTGCCCTCGCCCGGCTCACGAGACGAAGGATGACGGCTCGACTCATGGTTTTTTCGCTTGTTGCTGGGGTTAGGGTCAGGCTTATGGCGCTTGGGCCCTCGCTCCAGGTCCGGCTCCTGCAGCACAACACGGGGAGGGGTTGCCGGGGCACCTCCCATTGCATTTGCAATGGCTTCCTGCACAGCTTTCTGAATGAGCGCAGTGATCATGGGCATAAGCTGTTCCGTGATGCTGGCCATCATGCCCTCAAACGGGTTGCCGCCTCCAAACCTTAGGCCAGTGGGACCCGAGCAGCCCTCAGACAAGCAGGAGTGCAAAATGGCAGCAGAGTCCAGGTCCTGACCCGAGATCCCTTGCACTTGCCCGTCACCACCCTGCCTCGGAAGAGGCTGCCCATCAGCAGGCCGCAGTCCACAATCGCAGTTGTGCATCGCACCAGAGCATACCTCGCACACACGTGTTGGAAGCAGGCTGCTCGGGGCCAAATGGGATATACTCGGACCATGTCAGCATGGTACCCGCAACACAGACAGCAAGGCGTCAAACAACCAGGGGCCACGCGGGATATACTCGGGCCTTTCGGCCTGTCTTGACCCAGTGGCCCCTGCACATCAGAAGCTACAGGCTCACTCTGAGGCAAGACCGCACATGTCGGCACAGCATCTCGCCCTCTCAGGGGCTTGCAAGTGCACTCGGGTACTCCTAAAGGCACAGGAGGGTGTCTAAACCGAAGGGGCGAAGGGAAACCCTGTTGAAGGCAATCGCCACCACACTCAGCACGGTCCTGGGACTGCTCGACGAGACCACAGTCCCCTCGACCCACGGATGCATTACACGCCGACGGCGGCCTGTATTGGGAAGGCCCCCGGAGCCCTGGGTCAGCGACCCCACCTCCTCCTGACAAAAACTCCAAATCCGGATTGCACCCACCGCCTGGGCTCCGGGGGCACGCTCTATTAGGCATCACAAGATCACCCCGATCAGCTGTTACACTAGCCTGGACATCAGACACCCAAGAGGGCAACGGCCTAAACCCTAGGGGAGAAAGTGGAGCTTGGGCAGTGCAGCAATGGGGCAGCGCATCGCCCCCAAAAGAAGACACGGGAACCCCTAAGGGGGAGGACCTAAACCCTAGGGTTATGACATAGAAATCCCTTTAGGAAGGAAATTTCTAAATTATTTTATTTTGCGGTTTCAATTCGATTTAAGTTCGCTTGGGCAATTCGTTTTAAGTTCACCCGGTTTGGGGGCCTTGGAACCCAATGCGATTTGAATTCGATTTGAATTCAACTTCGGTCTACGCGTAGGACCTGCTCTCACGCTGTAGTGACGCTGGTTATTCTGGACGCCAGAGCCTCCAGAGACGCTAGACTTTAGGTTAGAGTTAGAGGCTTCGAGGCTGGCCAGGGCTACGGCGATCTCCTCAACGTGCAAAGTGCAAGGGCTGCAAGGATCCTGTTTGTTTTCTGCAGCCTCAGGTCAGTGCGACAGGGTTTGGGCACGTCAGGGGGGCCTGGGGGGGGGGGCAGGGCGGGTGAGGGGGGTAGGGGGGGGCGGTGGCACTCGGTTGGGGGCGATCTTTTTTTGCTTTGTTTTTGATCTTTTTTTGAACTTTTTTTGATCTTTTTTTGAATTTGTATTGAACTTTTATTGAATTCATTTTGCATTTTTTCTACACTTTTTGTAGGGAAAAGCAAGGATTCCCGCTCCGCCGACCATCCGCCTGAGGGGTCGGAGGGGCCCCCCTCCCCCCCTCCCCTCCCCCCCTCCCCCCCTCCCCCCCCCCTCCCCCCCCTCACCCTCCCCCCCTCCCCCCCCCTCCCCCCTCAGCCCACGCAGCCCCAGCCCAATGCGGCCCCGTCTCCAGATTCATCCGGCAAGACTTGACCAACTAGGATTCCTAGAGTTCTAGAAGTCGCCCTTCGAGCAAAATGCCGCGGGGATAGGCAGCTTCAAGGGCTGAATCAAAATCGAATTGCATGATCGACCCTGGCAACAAGTTGAATTAAAAGTGAATCTGTTGATTGAATTGAAATTGAATTAAAACTGAATTAGAAAATAATCTGGAAACCACCGCACCTAGAGTCTTCCTATGTCATAACCCTAGGGGTGCAGAGGAACCACGGCACGGGCAGCAGCCCCAGGAAGAAGCATCGTCGGCCCCAGTGTCCTTGCCCTGCGCGATGAAGAACTGGCCGCCACCGTCGCCAGCCGCCAGCAAGCCCAGGCCATGGCAGCAGCACTGCGAGGAGGGAGAACAGGGGGGCTCCGGGGAGCCATGTCTACCACTAGAACTAGTAGCAGGCACCAGAGGCCCGGTATCAGTCTCACTCTTTGCCCTTTCGCGGGTCTTGATAGTGCTGAGCTCCCACAGGACACTAAGAACACGGCCATAAAGGCTCATCGTCCTACGGTCAGGCTCGCACTCACCATCACAATCGGCACTAGTTAGGCCTCTCAGGCTCTTTGCCCTTTCGCGGGTCTTGTTGATTTCTTGACACACACAATCATCACTAGCTAGGCCTCTAAGGCTCTTTGCCCTTTCACGGGTCTTGTTGATTTCTTGAATGTCACACACAGGGTTCTCAGCAGCGCAAGTCGACGTCCCACATGGCCCAGCACCAAGGTCCAGACCAGATGCTGAGGGAAGAAGCTGCTGCTGCGGCGCGTAGTAAAGAAATTCCTCAGAGAAAGTGTCCTCAATCAAGTGGAGCCCAAATGCTGCACTTGCCTGCGGCACGTAGTAAAGAAACTCCTCAGAGAAAGTGTCCTCAATCATGTGAAGCCCAAATGTTGCACTTGCCTGCGTGTCAGAAGCATGCACACAAAGCTCACTCGCCAAAGGGAGCCCCTGAGCAGGGCAGTCATCCCCAGCAATAGCAAGGGCATCCTCTCGACAAACACCCATCGAGAGCTGCACCTGAGACTCATCCTCGGCAGATGCAAGAGCGATCCCCGACTGCCAAGGATCTGCCACGGCAGCAGAGTTGCTGCCCCCACTGGTGCCATCTGAGCTGGCCCCCACTGAAGCCCCTGACCACAAGCCAAAGGCCCCTACTGCACTCCACACCATAGTTCTCGGCACACCACGTTGAGCCAAGCAATCAAAATCCTTCTGGAACAGCTGAAGCTGAAAATCACGTGCTCGAACAATGAAAGCGCTCAGCATTTGCAGGCGCTGAGCCACCCACGGTTGCGCATCTCGGTCATTGCCAGACGCTTTGCCCCAGCTGCCGAAGCAGCTCTTGTCTTTCCCATTCACTTCTTTTCCCAACAAAGAAGCACCATCACTCAAAGCACAATTCATTCGCTTCAACGATCGCCGTAAGTGTAGGTAGCACCCACAATCAAGGCCTCCAGAAGAAGGAGCCATGGCCCGAAGGCACGTGTGGGAAGTGTCAGCCCTGCACTCGGGAAAGTACAGGTTAACCAGCTCAAGGCACGCGGAGCCCCTCCCCACTTGAGCCCAAAACTCCAGAACCGGATATTGCACAATGATTCAAGGGTCAGTTTACGGGCTCGATATGCAAAATGCCCGAGAATATGATATGTATTGGAGCCAGCTATAAAAATCGCTCCCGAATATATTCTCGTGACTGCTGACGTGGCACTCTTTTGTTCCAGCACTCGAAAGGGGCTGTTCGAAAGAAAGTTCGAGCACACGACGGGTTGAGCACGACCCGAGTGGTTGCGTTTCCACGAGTGCAGATTGCGGTAGAGAGATTCCGCTGCGTGCTAAGCACCCGATTGCCCCCATAACAAGTGCTGCCACGGAATGTTCTTCGGGAACACCTCTGCACACGCAATGCCCAGAGCTCTGGCCACCTCATCACCTTTCCCCCTTGAGGGTCCGTCAGCAATGTTTGATTTTGACGGTACTCGAGCGTACCACGCATAAGAGACTCTGTTGTCCTCCAAGCGGCACAGCTCGCGCAACGTGCGATCCATGATCATCGACTTGCTCACGCCTTTCACAAGGGCCAAGCGAGCAGGCTCATTGTCTATCCAATAGACAACTCTCCTGCCCTCCAAGCGCTCCCTGCACACAAGCTTTGCACAGAAGATTGCATACAACTCGACTTGGCAGATGAAGTGCTCGTTTGCCTCGTTTCGCCATGCTTCTTTGAGCTCGGGCGGGAGCTCACCTTGCAACACCCGCGTGAAGCCGTCGGCCGAGTCGATCAGTACGGCTCCTATGCCAGCGAAATCGCCTTCAAGAGATCCGTCAGTGAAGACGTGTACCACCTCCTTGCGATCAGAAAGTGCCACCTCCCGTGGACGAGCACTGCCAAGAAACTCCAAAGCCCGATCGCACAGCTTCGCGAACTCCTCAGGAGACGGAAAAGCTTCAGCGTGAACTATCCTATTCAAGTCAGCGCAAATGTGATTTAGCGACATGCCCACACAGGAGCCTGCCGCAAAACGCAGCAGCCCCAGCAACACTTGGCCAAAATGCTTTGTTATCGACCCTTCGGCTTTGACCTTGCCAAACATCTCCACCAGCCGCTCGATCCTTCCCGGCTTGTTGGAGATCGAGAGCTTTCCAAGGTGGAGCCGTTCCACGCACATTTTGAGTCCTAGGACACTGCAAGAAGCATCGAAAGGTAAGCCTTTGGAACCTGCCCCTGTCTCGGCATATCGAATGCCAAGCAGACTCAGCATGCGGCCGCACGCCTCGTCGGTAGCCTCAGCCATGTCTTCGCGAGCCAGCATCGGGTAGTCATCATAGAAGTACGAGCACACCACGTTCAAGACTTTCGTGAACAAGAAGTGGATGGCACGGCTTATACGGTTAAAGCTAAAAACGCTGGCAGCGGCGCCAAACATTAAGGCGTTCGCCACATACCAGGTGGGCTTCCCCTTTTCGTCGAAAATGACTATAACCGAAAGGCACCTATCCCGCTCGCTTACACAAAATTGTTTATAGGCTTTTGACAAGTCCAGGCATTTGACCTTCCAAGGGACGTGCACAGCCAAATCTCTTTGCATCCTTGCAACAGCCAGTGCCATGGCTGTGAAATAAGCGCTGTCTTGGAGCCTCAAACGGATGGCCGTCCCGTAAGCATCGTTAAGATGAGCTTCATGGCCGTCATCTATGGGACGCTTCTTGTCAGATTGCTCAATGAGGAACCTTCTCACGGCCACCCAATCCTGGGTCCCAAGGTGGCGGGAAACCGCTTCCTCGGACTCGAATGGTCCCGAGAGGAAACCCTCCGCCGTCTCCTCATCAGTGATCTTCCGCAGCTCCTGAGCCTCTTCCATCGAGACTCTCCTGGGATTCGCAAGGATCGCACGCCTCAAGTCAGGGGCTGCTGCCCTCAGGGCCTCGGGCGAGAGCTTTGCAAGTCTGATTCCTGTCTCGAAGCAGTCAGGCTTCGGAGCGGACCCCACCAGGTGTGAGCCGTCGCTCACTAGGTCCACGACTCCCATG